TCATGAGAAAGCAATTATATATACTGTATAAGTTCAAAAAGGTAGCTGCCTCAGCATGTGCAAGCTACAAAAAAACAAGTAAAGATTTATTCCATGCTGAAAAAGAAGAAAAGAAACACATATCAGTTGTGGAGCCTTCTGCAAGTGACCTGACAGCTGAAATGTTGTGTTTCGTCTCTTTCCTTTTCATGTATACTGTATATATGCTTAATGAATATGTTTATACAAATACTATAATGTTGTATATTACAATGCATTATAAAACAATACACTGTTTTGACGACAACCCAGCTTGTCGGCATGATACAATTGGTGTAATATGATTCAGTTTCTTATGGAGCGGTTGTGTCTCTTCAGTGGGTACACTCAAAGCTTCACCATTGGTGAATAAAAATTCACTGTACCGTGACATTCACAAAATCACTAAATCCATCACTGCCTTTGAAATTTCAGTGGGCGGCACGGTGGTGCAGTGGGGACCTGGGTTCACCTCTGGACCTAGGGGTGCTGTCTGTGTTGAGTTTGTATTTTCTCTCCATGTTTGCATGGGTTTCCTCAGGGTGCACTGGCTTCCTCCCACAGTCCAAAGACATACTGTACTGGTAGGTTAATTGGCTTCTGGGCAAATCGGTCTTGGTATGAGTGTGCATGTTTGTGTCTGTGAATGCTCTGGGATGGACTGATGTCCCAGGTTGCACCCCACCTTGTTCCTGTTGCTTGGCAGGTTAGTCACTACCTCTTCCTGACCCAGTTTTGTACAACCAACTGTACCTACCACTTTAAAAAAGCTTCACTGAGTGATGTGTCGTGACCCATTACCGTGTTCTCTTGCACAAACAACCTTTTGGCTGTGGCTTCTCCATCATATTTCAGTTTATACTGCAGCAACCTATCCATTACCTTGAAAAAACCTGAAACTGCTTGCTTTTTGGCCTCACAAGCACCAGCCATGGACACTCCAGACTGCAATTTATCGATTAACTCTTACTTTTTCTCTCACCAAAGTTTGAGGCCATGGTTGTTCACTTCTTTACACTTTTAGAGCATGACATCATAATATACAATACTTGTCATGGTACAGTAAATCCATATGGATGCAAGATGATAAATCACACTCACAAACGGAGAGGCAACAAGTAGTAGTCCTTCTGCCGACAAAACCACCTGAAGTCCATTAAAGCAAGGTTTTACTGTACCTTGAAATTATGTCACGTTTCTTATGAAGGTGTATTTTTAAATTATTTTTTGTCAATGTATAAAACTGACAGATTTGGGGGAATTGTTAGTATAACGGAGTAACTGTATTTTAAAATATTTAAAATGTGTCTAGTGATAAATACTCGATTCCCTTTATAAGACTATCTCATCGCTTTTTATGTTGTATATGTGGTGTTAAATTGCAGGCAGTAAATGATAGATAATTAATATTATATATCATTATAATCCTAGAATGCTACTATTGCAACCATTTATAAAAGAGTAGCTTTAGGAATATTTTCAGATTACGAATGGATGTTTTTTTTTTAACATACCACTCTTCAAATGCTAAACAGCCCTTGACATAATGTAGATGATCTGACATGGTTTTTTAAAACATTAAGTGGCATAGAAAGTACTTTCATTCTAAAAATAAAGGTTTGTCTTTTTTTCTGACAGGAGTTTTGTAGTGTATGAACTGAAATAACACATTAGACATAATACAAAGCAAACTTTACTTCCTAAAAACACAATGGAGTTATTATATAAGCGGTCCTCCGTCAGCCCTGGTAAATCAAGGCCAGAGGGCAGAATGCCCGGAGGTGCTAGTTGGCACATTGTCTGAGGCCCAAAATGCTTACATAGCAGATACAGCACTAACCATACAATCATGACATAATGCTTAGTTTGAAGTGACCCAGAAAAAGATCTAAGAAATACGTAAAGGCTAAACTGTCAAAGAGAATTAATAGAGGCCTCCATACTGCAGTGTTAACTGCATGTCCCAGCTGCTTTGGCAGCACTTTTTAGTATTCATGATGCTGCCTCCAGTCTGTGGCAGTAGTATCACTCAACTACATCACTATACCTACAATATATACTGTACAGATATACTGTATATACAGGAACTATAAAAAGGTCTATATCATTTTATATACAGTATATAGTGATATACATCACTATACTATAGGCACCTGAATCACATATTAAAGCCCTGTTTTACACTTTTTCAAACCACCTGATCGTTTATAAGGTAGTTTTTAAGATGATTTTGGTAAGTAGTTTGTCCCAGTACTTGGGTCTTGGGTCTAAAGCTTTCAGATTTTAGTGATGGTACCCTCACTGAGATTTCAATACCTTCAAGTTTTTTATTTACGCAATATTCTTGCAAATGTCACATGGCTGCTTTAACTCTGATCGGAGCAAAGGTATACTGAATAGATCCAAGACCACTGTGGGCACATTCTCTTTAATGCATTGCCAGTTAAAGATCACAAGCCGTGGCCTGTTGAGAATGAGCAAGGATGCCCTGCTCGTCCAAGTTCTTTTTCAGTGACCTGCCCCTTCTGCAGTTCCTCTCTGCATCAGAACACAGAGCTGGGCAGGGGTGTCGCCACAACAGGATATCTATTAGCAGCTAGTGAAGCATCATATTGCTTGGTCTCCTCCCTCTCTCCACTAGAAATCTACTTTCTTGAGCGAGGTGATCCACGCAGGTTCCACAATGGCATTGCATTGACCTGAAAGTCCAATTCGAATCACAGAGGAGAATGACAGCAGTGTCAAGTGTTTGGAAACTCAGGTGGTAATCCAAGCTGCTCACAGTTATCTGCTGTATTAGAGAGTTAGATACAGTAGGCTCGTAAGAGGGAGAGAACACATAGCATTGCTCATCTGTAGCGATTGGAAACAAACCAGCAATGAATAAAATCCTAAATATGCCTGTTGGAGGTGAATACAGGGGGTAATAGTTTGGTAAATGTGTATTCAGCCCATACCGGAGGTCTTAACTCTGTCTTGTCAGTGAAAGAACCCCTGTTGCCTTTCTGTTTCTCTTGCCATGCTGCTGTCTCTCTCTTTCTTTGTCATTGTTGCCCTCCACCAGTTAAGACCCTTGCTGAGTCCTTTTATGAAGCAGTATTAACGAGAGAGAACAACACTCCTTCCTCTCAGAATCAATATAATGATGAACCATCATCAATTGACCTTGTTTAAGGGCTTTCGGTCAGTTTTTTAGCATTGGGTTTCGAGGTATGGAGGGATCTGCTTTTAGCAGCTGTAGTGAATAAGCTAATATGATATTAGCATTTGAAAAAAAGCGCAGAAGATGAAAAGAACAGCCTGCTTTTAAAAGCGCACACTTACACTGTGATCTTCAGTGTCTTCGTGTTGTCTCTCTCTCTCTCTAGGGAAAGCCCAGACCAAAAGCTGAGACTGACTGTGTGGAGCACTTGAACAACCAACTCAGGAGGCACCGCCGCCATCGGAGAATCGCCAACGCCCAGCAGCAGAGGGCAGCACTGAGGAGGATCCGGCAGTTGCAGCAGACGGTAACAGGCTCCCTTGAGAAAACTGCGGCAGGTTGATCCGCTCTCCGTACTGTAGTGTCAGAACTAAAGCAGTTGCAAAGCATGGTTACCTGACCCCCATAGAAAAACAGTTTCCCCTGAACTGAGGCATCAGCCACTTTTTTGTCTCATTGGTTATATCATATCAGAAGTGAACCGCAGAATTTGGACAGGTCAGTTTATACGTGAAGTAAAAAACAAATTGTATTTGTTTTGTGGGAGCACCAACAGTTAAAAGATGCATTTCCCATTTTATTTTTATATAAGTGTTTGGTTTTGGCATTGTATATGATACAATCTTCCCTAACAGAATGAATGACTATACACGGTCAGCCAGGTTAATCAGGAATTTTCCTTAGCCTCTGGGCTGACAACAAGAACATCAACACAAATAAGCTGTAATAGTGAGGACTGGAGTAGTTATCTAATCATGAGGCCTAAAACTAAATTCCTAAGCATTCATGGTAAACTTGGTAAGCACATACAGTAGGTCTCTGCTGATATAAGACTTGCGCAGAATTTGTAGAGCTTTTTCTTTTAAAAGCATGACTGTATGGATTTGCTCCATACAGGGGCAAATCACACTCTTGAATTTAGTTGGGATTTTTGTATTTAAACTGGTATTATCAAATTCTGCTCCATTTAAAACAGTCAGGATAGCTTTCCCAACAGATAAAATAAATCTGTAATACTGTATGTGATAGGATCAGAGAAGTATGTTTTCCTTTTTTAGTTTTGCAGTTTAACCACAGCACATGTATTACTGAGGAAAAGAGCAATTTGTTTGGGGGGTGATAGCAGCACTTTTTATTTTAAATTGATTGACAGTATATCACTTCATTGCTGACAAAAAGGTAGTAGTGATCGTAATTTGCAATGTACAGTAAATACATTCCACAGTTTATCTCTCACATGAGATGAAGTGTGAAATAACCCAGCAGACAAAGCAGAGTGTAAATAGCAGGATGTCCGCTTACCTTCATTCCAGATGATAGTTTCCACTGTTGTCAAAAAAATGCCCATATTAACGTCAAAACTAAGAATATAGGGGAAGATTTTTTCGGGGTTGGCCCTCTGGATAGGCTTCTACAGTAGGTTAAAACCAAAACCCAGTTAAATGAGGGGGTATTTGGATGTTTTAGCAAATTTTTTGTCACTGTCAGCCCGATGTGAAGATCGTGCACAGGGAAAGATCTCCCGGACACATGGTCACGTGGACAGGCCCCGGCTTTGCGAGGGTAAAGGATGGAGCGGGCCTAGTGTTCCAAATCAGCAACATCCCTTTCGCGATGGAGTATGATATCATGATACGATATGAGCCAGAGGTAAGTGTAAATTTAAAGTCTAATTTAAAGATGGTGCTTAAAGAAGGCACTCCAGTATCCTCTACCATACGCTCAATAAATGAGAGCTGAATGGGCAAAGCTTTAGCAGAATGTGTGATAGCTTAATCTTTTTTTACAAACAGTAACTACAAAGAAGTTTTTTGCATCATACATTGTTGGTACTCAATCTTTCTGTATTTAGCTTATAATTTTGGTATTGCCAGGTCTTTATTGCTTTATTGTTTTGTAATCTGTCTCACAAAGCTATTATTATTGTGCAAATTGAACTAGTGTGAAATGGCACAGTTTGGAGAATATTCCCTTCAAGGATGTCCTTCCTTGGCCTGTGACCATACAGTACATGTCAAATTTAGAGCTTCACACCTTTACCAACCTTACATTATTTGTATGGGGGTATGATAGTTCTTGAACTGCTCTGGTTGGATGGTTCAACACAAAAGAATGTACCTTTATTTGTTACAAATTTATAGGAAGACGAAGTAACTTGGCATTAAAGTGTGTGTTTCCAGTACATCTGTGTTTTAAGTTTTTCTCCATTTCTCCATTTCCCCTTCTTCCAGTCAACAGAAGATTGGGAAGCCATAGTGAGCATCTCATCTGTCTTGTTACCCACAAGTTCCCGCTGTGGAAATGTGCTTTCTTCTGAACAAATGTATCATGTGACACTCCCTCATCAAACAAGGTACTGAATGTATTCAGGGCATTTGCAGAACAAAGTGATTGCCTCTGTTGTAACATGTAGTACTACTTTAGAGGGCAACTCCTGCAGTAGATGCATTTCTTCAGTCAAGAGTTTTTATACTTAATTTGCTAGACACAGAGAATGAATCAAATCTACGCCATTAGTTGTCCTATTATTATGTGCTCTGTTGAAGGTTAACATGACGACCTGGAACATTTACTGCATTGGAATACCTTATTGTTTCTGTGTAAATCACAAGTAACAGTAGAAAACAAAAGTGCTCTTTTGTGGGAAAACGAAAACAAACTCCAGATAAATTCTGAGCGGACTATTTTTTGGATAGCCATGTTCAAAGTGGTCAGCATAAGATCGAGATGTCTCATAACAGACCGGGATGAGGACCGTTGAATATGAATCCTGCTGTGGTATTGCACTAACCTCTGTAGTCCCTTGTCCTGGCACCAGACCGCTGGGATGGATGTTGAAGTGCATCAAGGTTCTAACTCTGGGCTAGACGGCCCCCACTCCCCTCCTGTGTGGGATAATCTTGAACACTGTCTGCCTTTTTATCGAGGGGTAATTGTCTGTGAGCTGCACTCTGGTGCCAAGATTAAACCTAGACATGTCAACATTGGTGATAGGGGCTTCATTCCAACATAAACATATCTAGCAAAGTATCAGAGCATTGAGCTGATACACTAGGGTTTGGATTTCAATCAACTTAATTTACATTTATTTCCCTCAGACTAATCAGGTGCCTAGAAAATGGAAAGAAGCATACTAAAAGGAAAAAAAAAAGAATGATACGGGCATTCTTTTCTAGCATTAAAAATTCTAATAAGAACTTGAAATCTCTTTCAGATCTGGTGCCTTGTCTGCATTGCAATATGATTTAAATATCTACATTCTAAATGATGATTGAAGAAGAGCAATTCGAAAATAATTTATTATAAGGGAAGGAATATTAAAGGAAGTAAAAAAAAAATCTTAGATTTCATTTAAGGGTGGGGATAGGGATAGGGTGGGCCTGAGTTAAGAGTCTGTCACAAAAAATAAAGGCTGGCAGGGTCTGTGTGTACTTGTGTAGTCGGTGTGCTTCAATTGTCGCACATTGTCCGCGAGCGCTTGAGCGAGTGTGAGCTTTGTGAAGCTTGTGTCACTGAAAAGGCAGGGCGGATCCCAGAGTCTCTCCCAGGGAGAGAATGGAAACTCCTGTCCTTTTTTTTTTTGCCTGACTTCAACCCACTAGTCCCTGAATTAGGGGCTTTAACAGTCCCACAGCCACACTGTCTTTTGTGGCAGGGGGGATTGAGAGTGTTGTCAAATCTGATCTTGTCAAAGTAAAACTGAAACACCCAGAATGCCCACTACTGGGATAGCAAGCTATACGACAGGACTTAGTGTATGCTCTGAAAAACCTGCAGCAATGGGATGGAAAAATAAACCATGAAAATCCACACTGTGTAGACCTTAATTAATTCTTCCCATAATTGCCAACAAAAAGCTCTTGGTTGATCCTTATCATTTATTCTTTTGAACTGATGTGTCCCTTCACCAAAACGTAAATTTGAAATATCGACTGCAACCACAGTAATCTGATCCTGTTAATGCTTCTGTCCTTGCAGTGAATCACACCGAATGATAGATCCCAAAATGAGTTCTAAATGTTTGCCCAGTAAAGGTTCCATATTTTACAGATACGTCAAGATGCCCAGACCGTTTTGCTTTGAGTCAAACAACCGCTATGTTGTAGCAATCCGCTTCCAGCGTCACAGAGCCTCCCAGAGACATCTGACAGCTTTCATACTGGTGGACTCTGTAAGTCAACAGTTTCCACTATAAAAATAACGATGGTGTAGTTGGTTTTATTTATTAGTATTGATTTTAGTGTTTATGTCTGATATTGTCAGTGAACCCTGGATGTGTCCTTGGTCGTATTTGCACTTTCTGAAAGTCTCTTGCTAGATAAGTACATAGGCCTGTTTGAGATGATAGAAAGGTGTCATACCCATTTTGTTCACTTAATTGTTTGAGGACAATTATGTGGATAGTAAACAGCATTATATGCACCTGGATTGTACTGCCTTAAAGTTTAAAGTATCACTTCTGTAAATTAGTGGACGTTCTTTCACAAAACATCCAAGTAACCCACGTTGCCTCTGATATTCCTTCATGATGGAATATTGCTGCATTTACATTTCCCTAAATATTCTTGTTAGCCTAATAAATACATCAGAGAAATATAGGTTGCATACTTTAAATATTTCTCAAAATAAACTTAATATAGAATTCGCAGAACAAAATGATTCAAGAGGGAAACAGTGCCCTCTGCCGGTAATGTTTAGTAAAACAACTTGAAAACTCATTTTCGTGCGGCTAGGCTTCTTAAAAAAGCATAAAAATATATGCTTTAATTCCGTCACCTAAATGGCCAAAATTGTTTTTAATTATTATTAAATTAATTATTATAGCATATTTCATTATTATCATAGTATTTTTATTCCATTTAATAGGTGAGCAATTTCATTACATTGGCTTATAGCTTCCCATACAGTAGACACCTTGTGATTGTGCCCGAAGATAGAATCATATAGAATTAGCTTATTAGATGTTATCAGGTCAAGCACTAACGGAAGAAACCCCCAAAAGCAAAGTCATGCTGAGTGGCTTATTTCATTCTCCTGCTGTTTTCACCAGTTGGTTCTGATTCCAAAGTACACTGAGCTGCCAGGTTTCAATGGGAACGACCCAGTGTCAGTTCACCACAGGGAAGAGATGGAGCACTACATGTGCCTGGACTCCTTCATGATGGTGCCCAAGCCCATGCTGGCAGAAATGTGCACCAAACTCCTCTGCAGCATCTCGGCCATCCTGCATGATGGGGCATTACGTGAGTACCAAGTGCATTCTCCTCCACCAGGAGACTGGGTATCTGTAATGACTGCTGTGATGATGGCTGGAGTGAAGCCGTAAGCCGGGTGTCGAGCATTGGATCCAAGAGCAGGGAGGGGGGAACCTGGGAGAACAGGCAAGCAACAGGCGACTGTAGCAAACAGGCAAAACACAGTCTAGATTTATGGTTGTAGCAATTCAATTCAAGCTTTATAGTCCCATAGGGGAAATTTGTTTTATGGCACAGTCAAACACAACACAATAACAAATAAACATCATCAAAAGGGAAGAGAATACAGTAGTGTTACAGGAGATAAGGAATAAGAGACAAGGTAGTTACTTCGCATTGTTTAAGAGCGTAATTGCAGAGGGAATGAAAGATTTCCCAGAGTCTGTTGGTTTTACACCTGGGGGCACAGAGGTGTCTCTCAGATGGGAGAAGTGTGAATTCGTAATGGAGGGTGTGAGACACACACTCCCTGATGCTTTTGCCTTTCTTAGTCACCCTCTGTTTGTAAACTTAAATTGATTTGATTATTCCCGATTATTTTGCCACTTATATTCACTAATTTACCCAGCCTATTACAATTACCGGTGGTTATGTTGCCAAACCAACAAGTGAAGCAGTGTGTTAAGACACTTCCAACGAATGATTTGTAGAAAGGTGCAAGAATAGGTTTATCTACCTTAAAGTAGCTGAGTTTCCTAAGAAAGAAGAGTCTCTGTTGGCCTTTTTTATAGATCGTGTCACAACAATTGTCCCATTTTAGGTTTTTGTCAATGACCAGTCCCAAGTACTTATAGTCATCGACAATTTCAACAGGCCGACCATCAATTATAGTGGGTTGAGGGGGTGTGGTATTTTTTCCTAAAATCTATACCCGGTTCCTTTGTTTTTGAAACATTTAACTTTAGGTAGAACGCGTTGCACAAGTTAGTAGTAGCAGGCAGGGTTGAGAGTCAGGTGACCTGAAATAAAAGCATTAAAGGTAAATCCAAAAGGCCGTGTTAAGACAAGCAAGCAAGGTTTATGTCTGAGGGAATCAGAAGTTCAGAAGTACAAGGGAATATCTGGGAGATGGGGTCAAAACAAAGCACGGTCAAGAATCCAAACACAGCACAAAAGAGGGAACAAGGAATCTAGAGAGCTGCAGAACCCGAGAGGTTCAGAGTAAACACTATCACAGAGCCCAGACCACTGTCAGCTCAAGCCTTGAGTCGCCTGCTCCACCTGAGATGGGGGAGGTCATAATTGACCACAAGAAAAACAGATTTCTTATGTGTAACCACGGCAACAGGCACTGACTGACAGGTGAGTAGAGACATGGCCTACTGCCACGGTAACAATAGCTTAACCCACAGAGCTCCAGTGGAGCCAGGGTAGCAGAACCATTTATCCCGTAAATGCAACAAACCGAAAAAAAGTTATAATCTAGATATTAATAATACAGTAATAATAACAAAAAGAAACTTTATTTCATACGGCACCTTTAAAAGTAATAATGCAAAGTGCTTTACAGTTAAACGAAAAAAGCTTTATTAAAATAACCTTTTTTTTTTTTTGCTTGCAGCCTGTCAGTGTGACCCCCAGGGCTCCCTCAGCACGGTGTGTGAAAAGGTCGGAGGGCAGTGCCACTGCAAGCCCAATGTGATTGGCCTGCACTGTGACCGATGTGCTCCAGGGACATTTGGTTTTGGCCCTTATGGCTGCATAGGTGAGTGCTGCCCGAAATCTAGTATTTGTGAAACTATGTTCAAACAGCAGCTGCTGAAAGACTTGGATTCAGAAGTCTGTCGTGAGATCTGATAGAGGCAATGGAACGGATGAATTCTTTGAAGTTACTATTTACCCGGGTCTCTTCTGAAATGCTGTCTCTCTCCAGCTTGTGATTGCCATTCTCATGGGTCAGTCAGCAGCCTGTGTGACCCTCTCTCGGGCCAGTGTCGGTGTCATCACGGAGCCACAGGAAGGCAGTGTGCCAACTGCCACCCCGGGCACTGGGGTTTCCCTAACTGCCGGCCTTGCCAGTGCAACGGGCACTCGGAGAGCTGTGACCCATCCACGGGAGCCTGCATCAACTGCAGGGACTACACTGCTGGCGAGCAGTGCGAGGGGTACGTGGAACAAGACTCTGGGGGGAGAGGTGGACAATACAATAATTGTCAGCAGCCATATCACC